GGAAGTCTAAGGAAGCTGCCCTGGGTGGCAGAGCTCTTTGGTGGCAGAGAACAGAGCAAGCCAGGTGCTCCACTGCCCACCCCTTGCCCACTCCCCCAGCCTCTCCACCGGCTGCTGTGTCTTCGCTCAGTTCTGCTATGATTATGAACCATTAGAGGAACCTCATCCATCTGCCTGTGAGCCGTGGCTACACTGGGTGAGGGCTCCGCTCACCCCTCCTGCCTGCAGAGGAGGGGGGCTCTTTCTCACGGATGGCAGAGGCCAGAGTGTGGCTGTTCCTCAGGCCTGTGTCCCTCAGGGCGAAAGCAGTGAGGCTGGGACACCCTGCAATCAGTCACCTCTGCTGTCCCTGTGGTTTCTTTCTGTCCAGTGGGCAGTGGCGCTTGTGACCCCAAGGAAGCCCAGGGAGACCCGGGTGTTCATTTCCCTGCTGCCTTCCTGGGATTCGGGTCTAATGTGCCAGGGCCTCCTGGTGGAGGAGAGGAGTTGCTTGCTTATGGGCAGGAATGAGGGGAGGGCCGGGTGCTGAGACCCCCACTCACTCCCTGTGCCCCAACCCCGTTGCAGCGGAGTTCACCGGGCCCCCGCAGAAGCCCCCGCGGCTGTGCACACAGGTACGTGTTGGCTCCGCAGAGCTGATCAGGCACTGGGGTGGGGGTTGGCCTTCCAAGACTGGGCTTTGCCAACTTTGAAGGCCCTTAGCAGTAACTCAGTCTGGCATCCTCATTGTACACACTGTAATTAGAGTACACGGTGAATGTTTAAATTTAAATGTACCTCAGTAAAAGACACATTGCCAGGAGTCCCTCAGAATCTTCCCCATCACTTTGGACGCTCCTGTCCCAGCCTTCTTACTGCTTGCTGAAGCTGTTCTGAGCGTCCTCGTTCACGAGTGTCTTGGGTTGTGCTTCTGGAGCCACCTCAGTGTCCTGAATCACTTCCAAACATTGGCCTTTCACGGTCATTTTGACGTGGGAAGGAGCCAGAAGTCACAGGGTGCCAGATCCAGTGAGTCGGGTAGGTGAGGGCCCACTCTGGTGGTTTTATTTGGCAGAAATTGCCACGAACACTTGGTTAATAAAGAGTGCTCAACAACTATGTTGAATGCTGAAGTTAAAAAGAAGTTATTACAGTAAGAAACACATCGCCATGAATTCTCCCTGAAAATACTCAAAATACCCACCTGGCTTTGAACACACTTAGCCCATCATTATTGGCAGTTTATCTCTTACTGGAATAAGTTTTTATAAATTTTCATTAGTCCATATTTGCAGTGCATAATGATTATTACATCCATTGTGGAGAGTTGCTGCATGTGTGTTACACAGCTTAATTCTTGTAATAAGTTTTTAAAATTTAAACATTCACTGTGTTTTTTGACCAGCCCATATATAAATGAGGCCCAGAGGAGGGAAGTACTATGTTGCAGGCACCAGAACTACTTGCAAAAGCAGTGAAGATCCAGGTTCCTGCTCTCTGGCCTGGAGGAAAACACACTGCTACAGCCCTGGGACAGGAGCTGGGGTCCTCTTCCTCACGCCCCAACCCAGCAGTGCCTTCTGTCCCACAGTCCATCCAGCCTACAGCCAACCTGGACCGGACCGACGACCAGGTGTACTCAGATGTCATGGAGCTGGTACGGGCCGTGCTGGACCTCAAGAACAGACTGGGCAAGCTGCCCCCCGAGGACTATGTGGTGGTGGTGAAGGTGAGACCGAGGACAGGGGCGCCTCTGGGAGACTGCGGTGATCCCCAGCCCTGGGCAGAGGGCGCTGGGCCTCCCCATTGGCCGGTCCGGCAGGCCCCAGTGGTCCAAGGTGACTAAAGGGAAGTTAGGCCCAGGCAGCCTCTGAGGGGCCCTATGTCCCAGCAGCAGGAGACTTTCTTGAAGAGGAAGAGGTAAGCTGAGCGTGGTGGTGCATGCCTCGAATCCCAGTACTCTGGGGAGGCTGAAGCTGGAGAATCCCAAATTCCAGCTCAGCCTGGAGAATTGAGGGACTTCACATCACACACACACACACACACACACACACACACACACACACACACACACACACACACACACACACACACACACACACACACACACACAAGTTTTAAAGGGCTGGGGATGTAGCTCAGTGCAAAAGTCCAGGATTAATGCAAGAGGTAAATGCTTCTTTGTCCCTTCCTCTACCCAGAATGTGGGGCTGACCCTTCGGAAGCTCATCGGGAGTGTGGATGACCTCTTGCCCTCCCTGCCGTCGTCTTCAAGGACAGAGGTGAGTGTCCTGGCCCCAGACGGTGCGTACCTGTCACCTCTCCCTGCACCTTCAGCTGCCTCTCCCACAGCACTCCCAGGACAGCCTCTCTCTGCCTGCTGAGTCCCCAGAAGGCGGCTGTGGGCCCTGGCCAGCACCCAGGGCAGAATTCCTGTTCAGGGCTTGGATAATCAAGGCGAATTCTTACTTGTGAGGACGTGCAGGGCCCAGGGCACCTTCCACCTCCCTCCTGCTGGCCTGTATCTGTGCTAATAAGGTGAATGTGTCATTGCAGCAGCAAATGGTCATGAGTCCCCGTGAGGCTCTCGGTGCTCCGTGAGCTGGACCAAGGTGACATCAGAGTAGCGGTCTCCAAAAATGTCCACGTCCTGGTCACTAGGGTCTGCGCTCCTGTTACCTTGCACAGCAGTTGGGACTTCCTAGTGTGGTCAAGTTAAGGCTCTCCAGACAAGGAGATGATGCTGGAGTGGGGTAGAGGAGGTGAGAGGCCAGCGTCAGAGGGACCGGAGGACAGAAGCAGAGGCTGGAGCGATGCTGCTGCTGGGAGGGGCCGTGGGTCCCAGAAAGGCACAAGCAGTGCTCTGAGCAAGGAGCATGGCCCTGCGGACACCTTGACTTTGTGATCTCATCACAGCCATAGGGAACAGGCCCCGTGCTGCTGCACACTCGCAGTTTTCCATCTGGAAGTCAGGTGTCGACGTCCCCGGACAGGGCCCTCGATCCACCGCCTTCCAGCGTCAGCCACGTGGCACATCCAGTCACTGTCCCACTGTCTCTGGCTGCTCCGGGCAGCACAGGGCAAGCGTGTCTGGGGCCCTCTGGGTGGCAGCAACAACCCACAGAGGGCTCAGCTGGGCAGGTACCACCGCCTGGGGACTGGGACGGCCCTTATACCTGGCCAGCTTCCAGGGGGATTTCCGGTTTCAGATCTAACGGGAAGCTCTGCACCCTCGGAATGGCCCTTCGCTCACTCACTCTCACCCACTCGCTCACTCGCTCACTCGTTTCCTTTGACAGATGCTCTTGCCCTCTGTGTGCTTAGGGTGTGATATACACTGGGGACGTGCTGGTGAAAGCGGTGTCGTCTCTGATCTCTTGGTTTGCAAGTAGACGGCTAACACTTGGGTCGGTGCATCTGACCGCTGACCCGCTCATCTCTAGAACATCGGCCAACGTCAGGACGCTGCCACGAAGGGCGGCCTTCTGTCCGGCTAGGTCAGGACGGGCTGGCTGGGCTCTGGGATGCCTGCCGTGTCTGCTGGATCCTGAGTGGAGCCTGCGTTCAGTCCTCCCTGGGGAACTTGGCTGCCTTAGTCAACACCCTTCCTCGCCCTCTGTGGGCTCTGTGTCTGCAGATTGAGGGGACCCAGAAGTTGCTCAACAAGGACCTGGCAGAGCTCATCAACAAGATGCGGCTGGCGCAACAGAACGCAGTGACCTCTCTGAGCGAGGAGTGCAAGCGGCAGATGCTCACGGCCTCCCACACCCTGGCCGTGGACGCCAAGAACCTGCTGGACGCCGTGGACCAGGCCAAGGTTCTGGCCAATCTGGCCCACCCGCCGGCAGAGTGACAGAGCATGGGGTACCCGCCTGCAGCTCCGCCCCCACCTGTCCTGCACCTCCCTGCCTGCCTTTGGTCATGTGGTCTTCTTGGGGAGGACAGAGGGGAGTCCTCCCCCTCGCTCTGCACGACCCCTCCCCGCCTCGCCCCAACTGTGCTGCTCAGGCTGCAGCTGGACGGAGGGACTCCAGGTGTGCACATGGGAGTGGTGATGCATCCACTGCCGCCCGCCGCTCCCTCCCACCCCAACCCCGGGCGCTGGGTGCGCACCTCGCTGGGGTCACAGCGATACCCCTCGCCCCGAGATGGCTTCATGCATGGACAGGTGGGCCCATTTGGGAGCCAGACAATCCCTTCTTCCTCTTCAGCACTCAAGGGTCCCCGGGTACAGAGGGGCCAGGGAGGGGCTTTGTTTGGGGTCAGGAGGCTGGTGAATGAGGAACGGGCCTGGCTTTCTTGTACAGTGTACATTGGAGTTTATTTAATGTGAGTTGGGTCTGGACTGACAGCTGTGGGGGTGGGTCTGAGACACAGTCCAGGAACAAGCTAATTAGGGACCAGGGCAGAGATGCTGTTTTTTATCAAAGCAGGTGTCAGGGGAAGAAGCAGAGAGACAGAAGCCATAACAGGACTCTGGACCACAATCTGCTTTCTTTCTGCCCTCTTTTCTCTTCCTGCCTTTACTTTCCCTCACCCCTTCCCCTTCTAACTCCTTTGCACTCTCCTTTTCTCACCTGCTCCTTTTCTTTCTCGAGTGTTTGTGCAGAACATTCTTGTACCTTCTTTCTATCTGACTTGTGGTTGAATTAAAATTGTTCCATTTGCTTTGTGGTTTGTTGGTGTTGTTTGTTGGATCTGCTGACCTTGAACCGTAATCCTGGAAGAAATCAACGGCGTTCATCTTGGGTGCAGATCAAAAGACCATTGACTGGGCCTGGGCCAAGGAAGATGTACGGTGACATGGGGGGATTGTGTGTGCTCCTGCCCTTTGCCCCTCTATGGACAGTAGGGTCACCTGACCCAAGGGTGGCTTTTGAGAATGGGCCCAGGGCAGTCCCCTCTGTGTGACACTCCTTTCCTGGCTCTGGAATGCCCTGGGTGATACTGATGACACTGAATCATGACCAGCAAGGAGGAGCCACATCACCGACTGACCAGCAGACTCAGCTTTATTTAATGCCTTTACTCACATGCAAGGTGGGCAGGAACAACGTGGTGAGCATCCCTGGACCAGGAGATCACACCCAGAGGCTTGGGCCAAGCAGAGAGATGGCAGGGACAGGGGCTGGCTTCCCAGGGGAGAAGAGGAGCCCAGCCCAGAGTGGCAGAACTGCAGAGGGGCCGGGCCAGAGTCTCAGGTAGACAGTTTCCCCTGGACTTGCCAGAGACAGGCATGCGGGGGTCCAGCAGGGGATCCCAAGATGGCAGGGAAACAGAAAGCTCCCACTACTGTGCTTCCTGCCTGGGCTCTCACACTGTCTGAGAACCCACTGCCCACCTCTGGTAGCTACTGAGGTCAGGGTTCCCACGCCCCCAGCACGTGGAAGCAAGAAGCACAGACCGAGGGCCCCTGGAACCCAGAGGGTAGACTGGGAGGAAACCTTCCTGAGGCCTCAGCCTGCTGCCCTCTTCTCGGAGCACATGTCCAGAGGGCTGACCCCACAGTCTGGGTCTCTGCCAGGTGCTGGAGAAGCAGGCAAAGGAAGGCATCAGCCCTGCCCTGGAGGAGTTCGGACAGAGAGCTTGAAGTAAAGCAGACCGTCAGGGACTAGGCCCCAGGGAGAGACAGAGAGACTGCCCAATGAGTGGGGAGGCTGCTTTGTGTTTTGTGGTTCTGGGGACTGAGCCCAGGGAACACTGACTACATCCCCGCTCTTTTTCAGTTTTATTTAGTTTGGCACATGCTGTCACATAAGTTGCCCAGGCTGGGCTCAGACTTTTGATTGCCTCTCCATTTGTCCGCAGCATGGTTCAGAGCAAGGGTGCCCCTCAGGCAGTGGCTCGGCTCCACCTGATGGGGCCACTTTGCAGCAGAAACAGGGAGGAATAACGCGGAGGGAAGAGGGCTCAGAGGTGCTCCAGGTGGGGCAAGGCCCGCTACCTGCAGGCAGCCATCTGCCCCTCTCCCTTCCTCCCCAACACACGGGGCTCCTCTCCACACCCACAGTGCGGTTTCTCATCTCCACCCCAGGCTCCCTCTCGCCCCTGTCCTGGGGCTGCACTGACTCTCAGGGTCCCACCCTCCAGCCCCCTTCGTGACTCTGTCACTTAGGGTCCACACTGCTCTCGGAGCAGCTTCTCCCTCACATGGTCACCACAGCAACCCAAGCTCCTACCGAGCAAGCACCTTCACCCCTTCCAGCTCCGCAGCCTCCAGAGCAGGGCTCTGCAGCCAGCGGATCACAGCACAAGGTGCAGGGATGTCAGGAAGAGCTGCACGGGGAAGGCTGCCGTGTAGGGACTCCGCGAAGAACCAGTGGCGGCACAGCCCCAGGCAGGTGGCCTTGACCCCAAAGGGTACCCTGGGGGCAGCTGCAGTCAGAGGTGGCAGAAGATGGTCAGCAGGGAGGCCTTAGAGCCAACACGAAGGACGTGAAGTCAGATCATCCCAGCCAGGAATGGAGGAAGAAAGAGCCCCACGGTTCCCAGGAAGCAGACGATGATGAACAGCCAGAGGAATATCCTGTCGATGACCATGGCGACATACTTCCAGTCCTCCTTCACCTGCAGACACAAAGGGGCTTCCGGTGATGGAGGCCCGGGGGTGGGTGGCATCAGACCAGGTAGGGAAGGACCACAGGGTCCAGGCAATGGACCCGGAGGCCTGGGAAGCCAAGGTCAGCGCAGGTACAGAGGGGGCCGGGCTAGCTCAGGCCCTGCAACCCTCCAGAGGGCCCATCCTATCCTCTCTACACCCTGTCGGGCTCTGGGTAAAGGAAGCTACAGGGACACAGGGACACACTAGCACCACCTAAGGGCCTGGCCTCCCGGGACAGTGGTTTCCAAGCTGCACTCCACAGTTAGGTGGTGCAGACTTCGCTGCCTGCCTCACCTGCCACAACCTCCTTCAGGAGATTCGGAGGAGGAGGCAGATACGGTCCTGTGACCCAGGGCGGGCTGGGTCAGGGCAGGGGGCTTTGTGGAGCTTGGGCTCACGGGCAGCTCAGGGGGCCTGGACTCCTACCCGCTGCCAGTCATCACTCATCCATGTTCTAAACTACTCCACAAGGCCACGCATCAAAGACCGGATGCCCTCCTGCCTTCCAGCCCTTGCTGAGGTGGGGCTCTGGGGCTGAACACTGCTCACACCCTGCGGGGGCAGCCAGGGGGGGGAATCCTCCCCCACACAGCCCGAATCCTTAGGGTTGTGGCGAAACAGTGGAGTTCACGAAATTCCCAGTCCCGGATAGGGGGTCGGCAACCCTCCCACACCAAGGAGGAGGGCAAGGATGCCTGGGCTGACACACTTGGTCCCTTCCGGTTTACCTTGGCACCTCCCCACTCCGCCCCATCTCTGCCCCAGGCAGTGGTGAGAAAAGGCTGTTGCTTTTCACTCATCCCACTTAGCCTGGGGTGGGAGCTGTTCTTTTGTGTGCATGTACACACAGTACTGGGGATTGAACTGGGGACCTTCGCTCTGAGCTATATCCAAGGCCCTTTTTATTTTGATCTGGGGTCTTGCTAAGTCCTTCCGGTGGAAACTGAACTCGCAGTCATCCTGCCTCAGCCTCCCAGAGTGCAGGGATCACAGGTTTGAGGCAGAGAGTGTATTTTGGACCTCTTGGTATTCGGCCACCTGCTAATAAGTGTCCCACGAGCTGCCAGCTAGGTTCTCTCACGATGGATTCCAGACTCCAGAGGATCAGCCCTGCAGGGAGGGGACTGGGTTGGCCCCGACTGACCCCCTGAGATAAGGCGATCCCGGCCAAGCCGGCAGAGCCGCCCCGGGAGGGGCCCTCGCCCAGCCCACACGTACCGAGGAGTCTGCGTCCTCCGACTGCAGGTGCTCAGCGATGTAGTGCACACCTTCCAGGGCCTTCTGCACGTGAGGGGACAGCGAGACCTCCGCCCTGGGCCCCCAGGCCCCTGGGTGCAGGTGGCTGCGGCCATAGAAGGCACCTGCGGGGGACGCTGTGCGGCCTGCACACACCCATCCCTCCTGCTGCTGCTGCTCCCGCTGCTCCTGCTCCTGCTCCTGCTCCTCCTCCTCCTCCTCCTCCTGAGCATCCACTACGGTCTCCAGCCAGTGATAAGAGGGGCTGAGCTTCAGCCCCGGGGGCTCCTGGAGCTCCGAGGGAGGCCCGAGGGGCCGGTTCATGAGCAGCCACCGGGGCACGCGGCCCAGCAGGACCAGGCGCACCCAGCGGGGCATGGTGTGTGTGTGCGACGAGCGGTGGTGCACGTTGAGCACGAAGACCGTGATGACGATGGACAGCGTGACGAAGATCATGGTGAAGAGCAGGTACTCGCCGATGAGCGGGATGACCAGCGAGGTGGACGGGATGATCTCGGTGATGAGCAGCAGGAAGACGGTGAGCGACAGCAGCACCGAGATGCACAGCGTGATCTTCTCGCCGCAGTCGGAGGGCAGGTAGAAGACCAGCACGGTGAGGCAGGAGATGAGCAGGCACGGGACGATGAGGTTGATGGTGTAGAAGAGCGGCAGGCGCCGGATGACGAAGGCGTAGGTGACGTCGGGGTAGATCTCGGCGCAGCAGTCGTACTTCTTGCTGTTGTAGGTGCCCGCGGCGTTGACGATGGTCCACTCGCCGCTCTCCCAGTAGTCCTTCAGGTCCACCGTGCGCTCCATCTGCTCCAGGTCGATCTTGGCCTTGTCATAGGTCCAGGAGCCGAACTTCATCTTGCAGTTCTGCTGGTCGAAGGGGAAGAAGGTGACGTCGATGCTGCAGGAGCTCTTGTAGATGGCCGGGGGCACCCAGTGCACCGCGCCGCTGGAGAAGAGGTGGGCCTTGGTCATGTGGGTCACCGCGAACTCGCCGTCTGCACTGGGGAGAGGAGACAGCTGGGTGTCTGCGCGACCGCCAGGCCAGAGAGCCGAGCAGGGCAGCCCCCAAACACAGCCAAGCTGCCTTCCGCACAAGGGCGCGGCTCTTTCCCAGCAGACACATATCTGAGTGTCTTTCCTGCATCATGGTTTTCACTGCAAAAGTAGGTGGTTTGATGACTGGTGGAACGCACTGAGCTTTTAAAATAAGCACTATTAACATTTTATGGTTTGTGTATCACATGTAGGAAAAACATGGCGGATTTAACTTTTAAAATTGTCACAGTGAAAGACATACAGCCACTAGTTCCCCTCAACATCCTGTCCTTGAGTTCAGGCACACTTATCTCATTATTCTTGCTGCTTTCAGAAGCAGTTCCAGGAAAGCTATTTCATGAGTATCTTTAGTTGCACTGTCACAGCCCCGATGGCCTGCGTTGATTCAAAATATTTACCTTTCGTGGACATTTTGACTTTGGGGAAGAGCCGGAATGGGCACATTCAGTGAATAGAATGGATGAGGACATCCTGGAATGTTTTTATGAACCTGCCTTTCATTCACTGCACTGGTGACCACACCTGTGAAATCATTCAGAAAGAGGACTTCCAGAACTGCTTCTGAAAGTGGCAAAACAATGGGATAAATGTGTGCGAAGTGAGAGAATATTCCGAGGGAGATTCGTGTCAATGTGTCTTTTACTGAGATAACTTTTAAAGAAAACTTTAAACATCCACTACATTTTGATCACACCTCATGTTTGGCTGTCAGGTAGATCATTTTCATAACAGTTTTACATATCTGAAATCATGAGCTATTTGTAGTTTTGTTGCCTGTTTTTATTTGTTTCATATTTTATAGTGATTATTATTAATTAGAATACACAGAAGTAAAGAGACACTTTTATCCTTGAGTAGTTTCAGGGTAGAGATATGGCAGGCTGGAGATATGAGTTTTGAAAGAGAACAACAAATACATCAGTCAAAAGTTTAAATTGAGCTGGGCGAGATGGTGCACATCTATAATCCCAGCTCTCTCAGAGATTGAGGCAGGAAGATCACAAGTACAAGCCCAGCCAGGGAAACTTAGGGGCTTTGGGAGATTCTGTCTCAAAATAAAAAGGGGCTAGGTATGTCGCTCAGCTTGAAGACCCTGGATTCAATCCCTAGTACCGAAAAATTGTTTTAAAGCTTGATTTTTTTAAGGCATTTTGCTCATTTCATATAATCACCACGAGATGGCGACAGGCTCTCATTTTGGAGAAGGAATAATTTCATTGACTACTGGAGCTAGTGGAGGGGACGCTAAATGTGCGAGAGTTTGGACTGGACTTCTATCCTTTGGAAGACTTTCTTGTGACAATTCAGTAACCTAGGGTGCCACTTACACTTTCCGATGACAGTGCTATCCTTCACAGTGCCAGCTGTGGGCATCTGTAGAGAGCAAGCACTGGGTTTCGGAAAGAAATACTCAGAACAGGCCAGTCTGTCCCGCTAGCAGTACACAGTTCTGATACACAGTAGCTTCTCAATAAACGTTGTTGGGGTATAGGAGTAAAAGAGCAAAGTGAACAAAATAAAAGAAATAAAGGAATAAGCAAGCATGTAAAAGGGATGCAGGGACCCCTCCCAAGTCCTCTGCCTGGGGTCCCGCTTCCTACTTGTTGTAGAGGACAATGTCAGGGATCCAGATCATCTCAGAAGGGACCCGGAGGGAGGTGATGTTGCCGAAATCGGCTGGGTTCCAGCGCAGCTTGTAGTCATTCCACTCCTGTGGGGCCGGGGGTCTCATTACCACACTGCCCGTGTGGGGCCGGGGCCTCCACAGAGCAGAGGCCCGAGGTCCCTGGACAGGGCTCCGGGCTGGGTGTCCAGCACCGACGTCTGCGACCCAAACTCCTCGGTGTGGCCGGGCTTTAGTAGCCGGTGTCCTGGCCCCCTGGTTCTCAGTCCACCCTGCCCCGAGGGACGACCCCAGTGGGCATGTCCTGCCTCTGCAGTGAAGTCATTTCCAGGGCGCCACACTTTACAGTGATTTCGGCAGCCTGTGTCTAGGAAGAGCCTCCCACGAAAGCCGGGCAGGGACTGCTGGGCAGGCACAAGTGTTTCCCATTTCACAGATGAGGGCATGGAGGAGCAGAGAGGTCCACAGGTGGGAAAGGGAACTCACCTGTGACCTCCAGACTGCTCCATAGGTGTCCTCTCCAGGGCCCTACAGCGAGGGGTGCTCTGGGCTCTACCCCCACTTCCACCAAACTGGTCCAAGTGAGTCCGCCCTCCCGCCAATTTGGTTCTTATTCTGTCTCCAGTCCATCTGTCAAGTTTTCAGGTTGAACCATTACTTGGAGGGCACCTACAAGGATCCCGGCCTGTGGTAGTAGATTATATCACCCCCATTTCACAGGTGTGGAAAACAAGGCTCCCAGAAGCTATGCAGCTAACCCAGCATCCAGGACTGTCAGAGGAGGCCATGGACAGCCCGGCTCTCCCCGCAGTGCCCTTTTCCTTGCCATCCCATGCCGACCCCGTGACCAGGCCGGTCAATGGGGGCGCCCTGGGCCTTCTCCCCCAACACTGCACAGCTGCGTAGCTTTCCAAGCCCTTTCCTTGCTCCAGCCCCCTGCTGGCACATCTGACAGGGGAGCTTGGGGTGAATGGGGTCAGGAGGGACCTGCCCAGCCTCCCAATTTAATTTAGATCTGAGTCCCCACACAGCCCAGCACCACCCAGGGCCAGAAAGGCAGGCAAACGAGGCACACATTCCAGTCCTGCGGTTTTCTGTGTATTTGCCTCTGTCACAGGGATGCCCAGTGCCAATGGGCAGGTAGAGGGGGCTGTGGACAGGGCCAGCCTCTTCCTCACGTTCTCCCACCGCCTTGGTGCCCTGGGAGTAGAGTGACAGAGTGTGAGGGGCAGAGAAAGGCTATAAAAAAGGCTGTCCCTGAGTTGTCCTGGGCATAGCACATCAAAGAGGGCCACTCATTACTTGGCTTCTCTTCCACTAGGAGGCGGGATCTATACTCCTCCCTGAGATCCAGCTGAATCCTGTGGATCAATGGAATATAGCAGGATCTGGTCTAGGCCAGGGTTCAGATTAACAACTTCTGCTTCCTGTTTCCTGGGACCATCAGTCTGGGAGAACTGAGGCACCAGGTGAGAATCCAATTCCCCTGCCGGAAAGACCCCAGAGAATGACCCTGAGAGTGCCTGACAGGGAGAAGCCTAGCCTGGCCCAGCCTTCCAGAACCTTCTAGAGCCTTCTGAGCTGTCCCGCACGCAGACCCCTGCCAAGGTACATACATGTGAGGGAAGCCATCTGAGACTCTCCACAGCAGACTCAGCCACCAGCCAGATGCCAAGTACCCTCACTATGATCACACAAAGCGGAAGCCCTCTGAACCCCTGGTCATAAAACGCTGCAGCATGGTAAGCTGCTCATCGCTCTAAGCCACTGAACTCTGGGATCTTTGTCAGGCAGCACAGACACAGAACACGGTGTTCTCTAGGTCTCACAGAAGGGCACATCCAGGACTACTCTTTTGATCCCGGCTGTACTCTGCCTCCATCGCCTTCAAATGGGCAGAATGAGCCCTCTCACGGGGTATTGGTACCAGTGCCGTGAGCTCAGGACACCCTAAGCAGCCGCTGTTCGGGAACTGTGAATTCTCTACCAGTCTTCTCCTTGGCCCCCGACTGGCAGAGTGTCCTGCATGGGCTGCAGTCAGTGGGCACCTGTCCTCCCCTTCGAGACAGCCCTCACCTGCTTTAGCCAGACATTGGTGGTCATCATCTGGTTCTTCTCATCCTGGCCAGGAGCAGAGAGAGAGAAAGAGCAATCAGGATGACAAACCAACCAGGAGGACAGTGGCCACCAGGGAAGACCAGCTCTTTCAGGCCACCAGCGTCCTCCCAGGGGCTCCTGGGCAAGGAGAGGGGCAGGAGCACAGGGAGGACCGAGGGACCCTGCGGTGACTGAGGTGGGCGGGGGCGATGGCGCTGGGAAGGGGCACGGCCCGGAGGTAGGACAGTCGCACCACGTCGATGAGCTGGGCGATGGACAGCCCGAAGCGCACGATCACCACGTCTGAGGTGTTGGGCACCGGCCGGGCCCAGCGGTTGTAGCCCACGAAGAGGTGCTTGAAGAGGCGATCCTCGGCCTGGGTGTGAGGGCCACCCCGCGCGAGCGCTGAGAGATGAGGAGAGGACAGGCGGCAGGTGGAGGAAGCCGGCGTGAGGTTTCCGGGCACCCTCCCCTCGGGGCGCCGAGCCTCTGCTCAGCTGACAAATGTGGATGAGTCGGCCCTAGCCCTGTCCCCGTGGGCGATGATGCCCCCAGGTGCCTGCTATGGGCACTCACTAGACATCAGCGCCTCGGTGAGACTGGACAGGAAGCCCGGACCGATCTGCAGTGGGGCGGGGAGGCTCGGACTTAGAGACGCGGTTCTGCTGGAACAGCCCCATCCGGCACAGGGAGGGCGGGGGGGCGGCCGGTCGCGGGGGGGGGCGGGAAGGGG